CAAGAGATCGAGACCATCCTGGTCAACATGGTGAAACCCCGTCTCTACTAAAAATACAAAAAAACATTAGCTGGGCATGGTGGCACGTGCCTGTAATCCCAGCTACTCAGGAGGCTGAGGCAGGAGAATTGCCTGAACCCAGGAGGCGGAGGTTGTGGTGAGCCGAGATCGTGCCATTGCACTCCAGCCTGGGTAACAAGAGTGAAACTCCGTCTCAAAAAAAAAAAAAAAAAAAAAATTAGCTGATTTTTAAAGGGTTCATAGAGGCTTTTCTGTTTTCATGAGAAATTATCAGAAACTGATTTTTTTGAGACAGGATCTCATTCTGACTCTCAAGCTGGAGTGCAGTGGGGTGATCATAGCTTACTGCAGCCTTGATCTCCCAGGCTCAGGTGATCCTTCCAACCTCAGCCTCCCAAGTAGCTGGGACCACAGGTACACACCACCACACCTAGCTAGGTTTTAAAAAATTTTTTATAGAAATAGGGGTCCCCCCGTATTTCCCATGCTGGTCTCAAACTCCTGAGGCTCAAGTGATCTTCCCATCTTGCCCTCCCAAAGTGTTGGAATTACAGGTATGAACCACTGCATTTGGCCTAAAGAAACTTTTTATTCCACTTACATTTTATTTCCATTTCTTAGAGTTTTATTAAGATATATTTCACATACTAGCTGGGCACAGTGGTGCATGCCTGTAGTCCCAGCTCTTCAAGAGGCTGAGGCAGGAGTATTCCTTGAGCCCAAGAACTGAAGTCTAGTGTGGACAACATAGCAAGATGCCAGTCTCTTAAAAAAAAGGCCGGCGCTGTGGCTCATGCCTGTAATCCCAGCACTTGGGAGGCGGAGGCAGGTGGATCATGAGGTCAGGAGATGGAGACCATCCTGGCCAACATGGTGAAATCCCGTCTCTACTAAAAATACAAAAATTAGCTGGGCATGGTGGCACCTGCCTGTAATCCCAGATGCTCAGGAGGCTGAGGCAGGAGAATCGTTTGAACCTGGGAGGCAGAGGTTGCAGTGAGCCGAGATCATGCCACTGCACTCCAGCCTGGGGGACAGAGCAAGACTCTCTCTCAAAAAAAAAAAAAAAAGATGGTGGCACCTGCCTGTAATCCCAGATGCTCAGGAGGCTGAGGCAGGAGAATCGTTTGAACCTGGAAGGCAGAGGTTGCAGTGAGCCAGGATCATGCCACTGCACTCCAGCCTGGGGAACAGAGCAAGACTCTCTCTCAAAAAAAAAAAAAAGATGTATTTTACATACTTTTTTTTGAGATAGGGTCTCACTTTGTCACCACAATTTTGTCTATTTTATTTCTATAATATTTATTTATTTATTGAGACAGATATTTCAGTCTCACCCAGGCTGGAGTGCAGTGGCACAAACACAGCTTGCTGCAGCCTAACCTTCTAAACTCAAGCAGTCCTCTCACCTCAGTCCCCTGAATAGAGATAACTATAGGCAGGTGCCACCATACACAGCTAATTTTTTTGCTTTTTTTTTTTTTTTTGTAGAGATGGGGTTTCACCATTTGCCCAGGTTAGTCTTGAACTCCTGAGCTCAAATGATCTGCCTTCCTTGGCCTCCAAAAGTGCTGGGATTATAAGCTTGAGCCACTGTGTCCAGCCTACATGCTATTTATTTATTTATTCATTTCGAGATGGAGTTTCAGTCTTGTTGCCCAGGCTGGAGTGCAATGGCGCGATCTTGGCTCACTGCAACCTCCACCTTCTGGGTTCAAGCCATTCTCCTGCCTCAGCCTCCCAAGTAGCTGGGATTACAGGCGTGAGCCACCATGACTGGCCAATTGTGTGTGGTTTTTTATTTGTTTTGAGACAGAGTCTTGCCATGTTGCCCAGGTTAGAGGTGCAGTGGCGTGATCTCAGCTCACTGCAACCTCCATCTCCCGGGTTCAAGTGATTCTCCTGCCTCAGCGCCCTTAGTAGCTGGGATTACAAGCACATGCCACAATGACTGGCTAATTTTTGTATTTTTAGTAGAGATGGAGTTTTTCTGTGTTGGCCAGGCTGGTCTCAAACTCCTGACCTCAGATGATCCACCCACCTTGGCCTCCCAAAGTGCTGGTTTTACAGGCATGAACTACTGCTCCCAGCCCTAATTTTGTATTTTTAGTAGAGACGGGGTTTCACAATGTTTGTCAGGCTGGTGTCAAACTCTTGACCTCAGGTGATCCACCTGTGTCAGCCTCCCAAAGTACTGGGATTACAGGCCTGAGTCACCATGCCTGGCACAACCTACATAGTTTAAATATACCCATTTAGAGTGTACAGCTAAGTGGTTTTTAGTAAATTCAAAAAGTTGAACAATGATCACCATCTTAATTTTAGAACTTTAAAATTACTCCTAAAAAGAAAAATTCCTTGTGATTCTGTTCATATATTTTAGTGGTATGAATTTTATAGATCTTGTGACATTTTCAGAGTGAACCTAGCACTGTGAGTTATGAAGGCATATAAGACACAGTCCTTGATTTCAAGTAGCTGATAGACTAATAGGGAAGAGAAGGAAATATAAATATTTTTATGACAGTTGTTTCAAGTTTCACACCAGTGATACAAGCTAAATATTACAGTTATGCTGAGGAATTGAAGAATCATCTGTGCTTTGAATGGTGAGAACAGGCCTTATGGAAGTAGGGAGATGGAATCTCCTAAGCAGAGAAGATGTGGAATTATATCATTCTTTGTATAGGCACTTTTCAGTTTATAATAAACAGTTTCCTTTTGCCCACTGAGAATTATGCATACTTTTATACACATATTTTATCAACAGAGATCTACCTTGATTAAGAAAATTATGGTCTGCAACATTTAATGGGCATACCACAGTATAAGCATGACAAAATAAATAGCTTGTAATTTAATGATTATATGGAGATCTCTACTGCTTGTTATTTAGTTGATTTATATTACAAGGGAAAGTCAAAGTTTTCTGTACTCTTGTCATCTAATGTAGGGTACTTTTTAATTCCCACACCGTTATTCTAGCCTCTGTAACTCCTCCTTTCTCTTTCCTTAGCATTCTGGCATGCGTGTAATTGTAGTAGGCCATTACCCAGAATTATGTGCCGTGTGTGACAATCTGCAGAGATAGGATATTACAACACTATCATTTCATGGCCCACAGAAAAGAAAGTCATTCTTCAATTTTTATGATATCTTGATTTCTATTTTAAAAAGCCTTTAAAAATCAGTGTTTGGATTTTTATGGTATTATATCCCAGAGAAATGATCTTCTATTGAATATAAGTACAGACTAGTATCATATGGATTCTAATGTTTCCTGTAGGTGACTGAAATGACCTAATCCCCTCTTTCTCATTGCTTTTGAAATTGAAAACGATTTTGACGATGTTTTTAGGACAGGGGTTCTAAAAAAAAGCAGGCAAATAGATAATACTTGAGTATATCAAGGAAAACGTGCATACAATGGAGATGCTACTTGGGTTGATTTTCTAGAGTAGGAACAGATCTGTGAGCTCTAGCTGTGCATTTTTGTGACTCTCCTTTTGACTACTGTCAGAACCACTAACTTCAACCATGCAATGGAATCAACCTGACTGACTCAGGGTGAGAGAGTCCTAGTAAAGTAATGACCTAAGATTGGAAACCCACATAACAGTTTCAGTCTTTTTTATTCTGAAAATCATAATTTATCTATTTTATGTCTGTATTATTATTATTATTATTATTATTATTTTTTTTTTTTTTTTGAGGTGGAGTTTTGCTCTTGTTACCCAGGCTGGAGTGCAATGGCGCGACCTCGGCTCACTGCAGCCTCCGCCTCCTGGGTTCAGGCAATTCTCCTGCCTCAGCCTTCTGAGTAGCTGGGATTACAGGCACGCGCCGCCATGCCCAGCTAATTTTTAGTATTTTTAGTAGAGACAGGGTTTCACCATGTTGACCAGGATGGTCTCGATCTCTTGACCTCGTGATCCACCCGCCTCAGCCTCCCAAAGTGCTGGGATTACAGGCTTGAGCCACCGCGCCCGGCCTTATGTCTGTATTATTATTATTTTTTTTCTTTTTTTGAGATGGAGTTTCGCTCTTGTTACCCAGGCTGGAGTGCAATGGCGTGATCTTGGCTCACTGCAACCTCCGCCTCCTGGGTTCAGGCAATTCTCCTGCCTCAGCCTCCTGAGTAGCTGGGATTATAGGCACGTGCCACCATGCCCAGCTAATTTTTTTTTTGTATTTTTAGTAGAGATGGGGTTTCACCGCGTTGACCAGGATTGTCTCAATCTCTTGACCTCATGATCCATCCGCCTCGGCCTCCCAAAGTGCTGGGATTACAGGCTTGAGCCACCGCACCTGGCCTGTATTATTATTTTTTATTCTGTTTTTTTTTTTGGAGACTGAGTCTTGCTTTGTTGTCCAGGCTGGAGTGCAGTGGCATGATCTTGGCTCACTGCAACCTCTGCCTCCCAGGTTCAAGCAATTCTCTTGTCTCTGCCTCCCGAGTAGCTGGAATTATAGGCACACGCCACCATGCGCAGCTAGTTTTTATATTTTTAGTAGAGTTGGGGTTTCACAATGTTGGCCAGGCTGGTCTCGAACTCTTAAACCTCAGGTGATCCACACTCTTCGGCCTCACAAAGTGCTGGGATTACTGGTGTGAGTAACAGTGCCTAGCTTGTTATTTTTTGGTTATCTATTGAGACAGGTCTTACTCTATCACCCAGGCTGGAATGCAGTGGTGCAATCACAGCTCACTGCAGCCTTGACCTCGACCTCCCTGGGGTCAGGTGATCCTCCTACCTCAGCTTCCCAAGTACCTGGGACCACAGATGCATCACCACACCCGGCTAAGTTTTTAATATTTTTTTGAATAGAGAAAGGGTTTTGCCATGTTGCCCAGGCTAGTCTTGAACTCCTGGGCTCAAACGATCTGCCTACCTCTGCCTCCCAAAGTGCTAGGATTACTGGCATGAGCCACTGTGCCTGGCTTAAGTAATTTAAATAATACTATTTATTTTATTTAGATTGTTTTACAAGGACATGCAACAAGAGTAACTGCTAAATCTCAACAGAGTGGAGAGAAGGCATTTCGATGTGAATATGATGGATGTGGAAAATTATATACAACAGCTCATCATCTTAAGGTATATATAAAAGAAATGTTCCACCTAGTTATGAGAATACCTAGGATATTAAATACTAAGATCATATTTTTGTGTAATTCAAATGCCACTGATTTCTCCCACTTATCAAGATACTGACACTTGGTCACACTCATACACAGATACGTAAAAACCTGTGTAGACTTTAGAGACTGCCAGTTTTTGGAGGGCCTGGACTATGTTTTTTTCATCTCTGTATCCCTGATGTCCAGCATACTACCTGGCACATAGTAGGTACTCTACGTATTTGAATATATGTTGTCAAGTGTGAAATTTATATAATTATATTTGAGATATGTGTGTAATCACACATTTCTGTTAATTCTCTGAAATCTAGCAAAAGTTGGTATTAATTTGTCTTTTATATAGTTGGGCTAAGGCTGGGCCTGGTGGCTCGGGCCTGTAATCCCAGCACTTTGGGAGGCCAAGGCGGGTGGATCACCTGAGGTCAAGAGTTCAAGACCAGCCTGGCCAACATGGTGAAACCCCATCTCTACTAAAAATACAAAAATTAGCTGGGCATAGTGGCAGGTGCCTGTAATCCCAGCTACTCTAGAGGCTGAGACAGGAGAGGCGGAAGTTGCAGTGAATTGAGATTGTGCCACTGTACTCTAGCCTGGGCAACAAAGAGGAAAACTCTATCTCAAAACAAAATAAATTTTAAAAATTAATATTTAGGCTAAGTATTTTTATTTTACTTGCTGTTATACATAACAGAACATATCATGACTCAATAATAGCTAAGATTTGTTTTTTTGGGGTTTTTTTTGAGAAGGAGTCCTGCTCTGTCACTCAGGCTGGAGATCAGTGCCACCATCTTGGCTCACTGCAACCTTTGCCCTCCAGGTTCAAGCGATTCTCCTGCCTCAGCCTCCTGAGTTAGCTGGGATTATAGACACGCACCATCAGGCCCAGCTCATTTTTGTATTTTTAGTAGAGACAAGGTTTCGCCATGTTGGCCAGGCTGGTCTTGAACTCCTGACCTTTGTGATCCACCCACTTCAGCCTCCCAAAGTGCTGGGATTACAGGCGTGAGCCACCGTGCTTGGCAAAGAGTTGTTAAATAACTTTCAATGTGTCAGGAAGTGTGTGCTTAGCATATTTGGATTAGTGGCCCTAGGGCCCATCTTCACTATTTATCAATAACCTTGGCATGTTAGTTGACCTTAGTACCTGATTTTCCTCATGTATGAAATTAGATTCTAAGAGTTAATCTCCCTCTCAGAAGTTTATATGGTATACATAAAGTACTAAAGAGAGTGGCCTGATATAGTAAATGTTTAGTAAATGTTAGCCATTGTCATTGTTACTCATTTGTCACGGCAACCCTCTATGGTTGATACTATTGTGTCCCCACTTTTTAGAGAGACCTTCAGGCTTAGAGAAGGCAAGCTCCATGACCACACCACTAGGCAGCTGGTGGATCCTTGCCTCAGATCCAGGCCCCTCTAGCAGCAGCCTCCACACTTTTTTTTTTTTTTTTTTTTGAGACGGAGTTTTGCTCTTGTTACCCAGGCTGGAGTGCAATGGCGCCATCTCGGCTCACCACAACCTCCGCCCCGGGTTCAAGCAATCCTCCTGCCTCAGCCTCCCGAGTAGCTGGAACTACAGGCACGCACCACCATGCCCAGCTAATTTTTGTATTTTTAGTAGAGATGGGTTTCGCCTCGTTGACCAGGATGGTCTCGATCTCTTGACCTCATGATCCACCCGCCTTGGCCTCCCAAAGTGCTGGGATTATAGGCGTGAGCCACCGCGCCCGGCCCCAGCCTCCACACTTTTTTTTTTTTGAGACGGAGTTTTTGCTCTTGTTACCCAGGCTGGAGTGCAATGGTGCGATCTCGGCTCACCACAACCTCTGCCTCCTGGGTTCAAGCAGTTCTCCTGCCTCAGCCTCCTGAGTAGCTGGGATTACAGGCATGCGCTACCATGCCCAGCTAATGTTTTGTATGTTTAGTAGAGATGGGGTTTCACCATGTTGACCAGTATGGTCTCGATCTCTTGACCTTGTGATCCACCCGCCTCGGCCTCCCAAAGTGCTGGGATTGCAGGCTTGAGCCACCACGCCTGGCAAGCCTCCACACTTTTAACCTTACATTGTGTAGCCTCTCCCAGCCCCCTGCTTCTGGTTTCTCATCATGTGCATGTTTTATGCAAATACCTTTGATCACTTTAGAAAGCTCAGACCTCGAACATTGCTGTTCCCTACTTAAAATATTAGCAAGTAACTCTTAATATTTATATTTGGGTCTGTATTGAGAACCATTGGACTACCGTTTTTGTGAAGGTTTTTTTTTTTTTTTTGTAGGTTGTTTTTCTTTTTTTTTTTTTTGAGACGAAGTCTCAAACTTTCACCCAGGCTGGAGTACAATGGCATGATCTCAGCTCACTGCAACCTCCACCTCCCAGGTTCAAGCAATTCTCCTGCCTCAGCCTCCTGAGAAGCTGGGATTACAGGTGCCTGCCACCACACCTGGCTGATTTTTTGTATTTTTAGTAGAGACAGGGTTTCACTATGTTGGCCAGGCTGCTCTTGAACTCCTGACCCCATGATCCGCATGCCTCAGCTTCCCAAAGTGCTGGGATTACAGGCGTGAGCCACTGCATCATGCCTTTTTTTTTTTTTTTTTTTTTTTTAAATAACGCATACAACAAAATCATTTAGCAGTGTGGGAAAAAATAGGTCTCTGTTGCAACCATCTTCCTGTGGAATACTTAAAGGAAATAGAATTATGCCTGCATTTTAATCACAGGTCCATGAGAGGTCACACACAGGAGATCGGCCTTATCAGTGTGAGCATGCAGGCTGTGGGAAGGCATTTGCAACAGGTAAAAATATGAATTTTGTTCTTTTCATGGTTCCAATTAGGGGTCAAGTAGAAACTGCCGAGTGGAAGGAACTAATCTTTTGGCTGTGTCTGAATCTGTAGAAGCACATGATCAGTTTTTCAGTCTCTCTCATAACTGCCTTTTGTCCTGTTTACTCTACATCCCTCTTTGTTCTTTTCTCCACTGACCTGTCTCTGCCTGCTGTGTTTTTTTCTCTCTCTCTCTTTTTTTTTTTTTTGGGAGACATTTTCACTCTTTCACTCACATTGGAGTGCAGTGGCAGGATCTTGGCTCACTGTACACACCACCTCCCAGGTTCAAGCAATTCTAGTGCCACAGTCTCCTGAGTAGCTGGGTTAATATTTTTTTATTTTTAGTAGAGGTGGTATTTTGCTATGTTAGCCAGGCTGGTCTCAAACTCCTGGTCTCAAGTGATCCATCCGCCTCAGCCTACCAAAGTGCTGGAATTACAGGTGTGAGCTACCACACACCCAACCAGCCTGCTATGTTTGTTACTTTTCACTTCACATTCTGTTTATATTTGGCGGGAAAATAAAAGCCAAACTTTTTTGTTCATTTGTTTTTTTGTATTTTAGATGGTATTTCACTCTTGTCGCCCAGTCTAGGGTGCAGTGATGCAATCTTGACTCACCACAATCTCTGCTTCCCAGACTCAGGCGATTCTCCTGCTTCAGCCTCCAGAGTAGCCGGGATTACAGGCATGCGCCACCACACCCAACTAATTTTTTTATTTTTGGTAGAGTTGGTTTTACTCCTTGGTCAGGCTGGTCTCAAACTCCCGACCTCAGGTGATCCATCTGCCACAGCCTCCCAAAGTGCTCGGATTACAGGCATGAGCCACTGCACCCAGCCAAAAGCTAAGCTTTAAAGGCTGCTGTAGACTCTAACATTAGGACAGACCTAAGTAGTGGGATGGGGCCTCTCCAGAGATGCATCCAGTGGGGCCAGGACTGGGGCCGGGACTGGCACCAGGCCTCCCGATTTCCATTCTTCATTCCATGTCTTGATTCCACTTTGAGCCTTTGGAGTATGAGAACATCTAATAAAATTGAGGCACTTTAAAAAAAGAAACACACAACCTCTTCTAGACAGAGATGAAACTGTTCAATTTTCAGCATGGCAGTCCTGAGCTATGATACATTTTTACTTTTTTTTTTTTTTGAGATGAAGTCTTACTTTGTTGCCCAGGCTGGAGTGCAATTGCGTCATCTCGGCTCACTCAAACCTCCACCTCCTGGGTTCAAGCGATTCTCCTCTCTCAGTCTCCCGAGTAGCCAGGACAACAGGCGCATGCCACCGTACCTGGATAATTTTTTGTATTTTTAGTAGAGATGGGTTTCACCATGTTGGCCAGGCTGGTCTCAAACACCTGACTTCAGGTGATCTGCCCGCCTCTGCCTCCCAAAGTGCCAGGGTTACAGGTGTGAGCCACCACACCCAGCCCTTTAGAACATTTTAAGTATTCTGTGTATATGCCTAATATTTTATACTTGGTATTGACTGTATTTTTCAGTAGCTTAATCTCAATGTGTATGTTTAGAGGAGTATTGTGTAATTAAATGTCTTTTAATTTTTTTTTAAAGGTTATGGATTAAAAAGTCATGTCAGAACTCATACAGGAGAAAAGCCATATCGGTGTTCAGAAGATAATTGTACTAAATCTTTCAAAACTTCAGGAGATCTACAGAAACATATCAGAACTCATACAGGTACTAGTAGAAACAGAGTGTCATATTTAGGCCAGAAATTCTTAATCTGCAGGGAGGGGACTTGAGGAAGGAGTCTCTGGAAGAGTTTCAGGGAATCACTATCAATGGCTTTTCTTAAACCTCTGAAATTCCATATGACTTGCTGTTTGTGCGTGTCTGCTGTTTTTCAGGATGAGGGCCCAATAGCTCTGTTAGATTCTCAAAGGGTCCATGTCCCAGAAAAGATTAACAATGTCTCTAGACCACCAGCTCTCTCAGATTTTAGGAGCTGTCTAGGCAACAAGCTTATTTACTTAGGATTACACATCTAATTAGTAGCCAAGCTGAGATAGAACCTAAGGCATTCAATTGTTTCTCCTTTATTAAGCAGCTACTAAAGAAAGTGTGTGAACCCCAATAGCGCCACAGATGAAAAGGCTCATTTCTTTTTGTGATCATTTCTTCTTCTCTTTAAATTTTATCTTCTTTTCCTAAATAATACTTAATTATTTTCTCCCTATCTCCTCTCCTCCTTATACTTGATTACTTGTGGAATTGGTATTAGTAAGGTAAATATTTGCTTTGGATTGGAGCTAGAAAAAGTTCAGAAGCTGTTGATAAGAGATGCTCTTATAAGCTGTTGACTAAATATTACAGTATAAGATAATTTAATTTGGGATTTTAGTATAGATGTTTTAAACATGGTATAATAACTGTATCCCCATGTGCAGAAATAGCTGAAAAAGTTTAGCTAATTTCCATGTAGGATTCTTGAAGCTGTTAATGTTTAAGCTGCAACTCAAGTATGACCCCAAATTGACTTTACAACATTCAGGAACAGAGCTGTAGGTCTCTGCTTCCATCTCATTCATGCACTTTTTATTTATTGTTTCATAGGCAAGTATTTCCAAGCCCCTGTAAATTCTGTTTGGATTTGCAAATAAAACCAACTTGTTATATAAAAGTTACATAAAACCAAATAGTCTAATATTATAAATACTGATTTTAAAATGTCAGGATTGTGATTTCTTTCTTAGTATTCATTTGTCAAACCACATGTTCATATAACAGCTTTAAAATCATGATATTTTCATTGGTATAGTGTTGGATTGAGTAAGGAGCATAGGGACTTCTGTAACAACACAGAAGATTTCAGTGCAAAAACAAAACATGATGTTACAGAATCAGAATAGTAACACAATGAAAATTATCCTAGAATAGTTGATTCCCTATCATAGCATGTCAGAGCTGGGAATACTTTAGAGGTCATCCAGATACAAAAGAAGAGACTTGCCCAAAATAAACTTTTTGTTCTTCTTAGGCTGACATAGTGAATAAAACTTACTAAAGATGGGATCAAAGATTCCTGCTCATTTTAAAATGATTTCGTACTTAATAGGAAGAAATCTTTTGGAATGGTTCCACCAATAGGGAAATCATAATTTCATTTGACAAAAAGAAAAATAAACTAGTCAGGTGTGGTGGCATATGCCTGTGGTCTGAGCTACCCACGAGGCTAGGATGGGAGGATTGCTTGAGGGCAGGAGTTCGAGGCTGCAGTGTGTAACCATCGTGCCTGTGAAGAGCCACTGCATTCCAGCCTGAGCAACATAGTGAGGCTCCGTGTCAAAAAATTTAACAAACTTACTATATATGGATAAATATCTGTATCTGTCTACATAGAGAGAGGTTTTTTTTCCTTCCTCAGAGCTTGTTTGCGTAATTTGAGCTCATCCTAGAAAAGGGTACATGGGAATTAAAAGCAAAGGCTACTTCTTGCTTGACAGTTTAAAGACCTTTCGTGTTCCAAGATTGTATAAAGCAAATATGAAGGAAAGGAACATAGTAGGTAAAGCAGGTTTTTTGTTTGTTTGTTTGTTTTGAGACAGTGTCTTACTTCGATGCCTAGACTGGTGTACAGTGGCGCAATCACAGCTCACTATTGCCTCAACTTCTTGGGCTCAGGTGATCCCTGCCCCCCATCTCACCCTGTGGAGTAGCTGGGACTACCAGTGTGCACCACACTCCTGGCTAATTTTTTGTAGAGCTGGGGTTTTGCCATGTTGCCCTGGCTGGTGTTGAACTCCTGGGCTCAGTGAGCCACATGCCTTACCTCTCAAAGTGCTGGGAATACAGGCATGCACTACTGTACCTGGCCAGACATTTTCATAAACTTAGATTATGAGAGGAGGAGGAGTATGTCCAGCAGGTATTTTTGACACATATTATATGCTAGGCCCTAGATTTTCTTTTTTTTTTTTTCTTTTGGTTCAATAAGAAGTATTTGTTGAATGTATTATTTCCTAATACAGTTAATGTTAGGCATTATCTTGCTGAATATTAGTTAAAACACCATTTTTTTTCCTTAAGATAAGAGTCTCATTCTGTCACGCAGGTTGGAGTGCAGTGGCACGATCTTGGCTCGCTGCAACCTCCGCCTCCCGGGTTCAAGCAGTTCTCCTGCCTCAGCCTCCCAAGTAATTGGGATTATAGGTGTGTGCTACCATGCCTGGCTAATTTTTTGTATTTTTAGTAGAGACAGGTTTTCACCATGTTGGCCAGGCTGGTCAAAACACCGTTTGTTGTTGTTGTTGTTGTTTTGGAGATGGAGTCTCACTCTGTTGCCCACGCTGGAGTGCTGTGGTGCAATGTCAGCTCACTGCAACCTCCTTCTCCGGGGTTCAAGCGATTCTTCTGCCTCAGCCTCCTGAGTAGCTGGGATTACAGATATGCACCACCATGCCCGGCTAATTTTTATATTATTAGTAGAGATAGTGTTTCACCATGTTGGTCAGGATGGTTTCGAACTCCTGACCTTGTGATTTGCCCGTCTTGGCCTCTCAAAGTGCTGGGATTATAGGCATGAGCCACTATGCCTGGCTGCAAAACACCATATTTTTTTTTTTTTTTTTTGAGACGGAGTTTCGCTCTTGTTACCCAGGCTGGAGTGCAATGGCGCGATTTCGGCTCACCGCAACCTCCGCCTCCTGGGTTCAGGCAATTCTCCTGCCTCAGCCTCCTGAGTAGCTGGGATTACAGGCACGCACCACCATGCCCAGCTAATTTTTTGTATTTTTAGTAGAGACGGGGTTTCACCATGTTGACCAGGTTGGTCTCGATCTCTCGACCTTGTGATCCACCCGCCTCAGCCTCCCAAAGTGCTAGGATTACAGGCTTGAGCCACCGTGCCCGGCCAAAACACCATATTTTTAAAGAGCAAAAATTATTTTCCTTCAAGATATTGTAGAATAAATCAAGTAGGAGATAAGCTTTTAGGGAACCATGTTCTTGACTGTATTTTTCTTGTGTATTTCCTATGTTTTCTTCTTGCTGTTTATAGCTCATTTTTTGCCTACCTGGTTGATTCTGTCTTGGAGAGTCATGTAATCAGTGATTAGTTTTGAATACCATTCCTGGTTTCTTATGTTAATTTAAGTTTGGAGTGAAAGATGCAGTTCCCCCCAAAAAAGAAATGCTCGAAAGGGAAGCTCAGCACAAGATGGCTAGAGTCTTGAGCATGATCTTAGGGGGGATTGGTGGATAAGAGGTTTCAGTCTTCTATATATTTTTGCACAATTTAATGTATTACCCTTTATGTTTTCAGGAGAAAGGCCCTTTAAGTGTCCCTTTGAAGGCTGCGGTCGGTCGTTTACAACATCAAATATCAGAAAAGTGCACGTTAGGACACACACAGGAGAAAGACCTTACTACTGCACAGAGCCAGGATGTGGGAGGGCATTTGCCAGTGCAACCAATTATAAAAACCATGTGAGGATACACACAGGTAACACTCTCTGATCTTTTTTTTTTTTTTTTTTTTTTAATCTTCCAAGGCTCATTTTAACTCCTGCCTTTTCCAGAAACCATTTCCAACTAATCTCTTCCCTCCTTTCTATCACTTGGCATGGTGGAAAGATATTAAGCAACTTTTAAAAGTTTCACCTTAACATTCATGCATTCATTTGTTCAAGAGACAGTTGAGTATCTCCTGCCAGGCATCAAATAGAGAGAGATAAGACATTATCAAGGGCAGGCTACTTGGGAAGAGAGAATAGACATACAGTTGCTGCAGTGTCTCCCATTATATGGACAAGATTCTATGGGAGCAGAGCAGGGAGCAGTCACTTCTGTGGGAATGGGAGAAGCATTCTGGGAATGCTTTCGAGGGAAATTTGACATACAGACTCAATCCTGAAGTTTGCCATGTATGAGAGAAGTGTATTCCTGGCAGAGAAAATGTCATGGGAAAAGGCACAAAGGTATGAAAAAGCATGATATTCAGTGGTTCCATATGACAGGAGCATCAAGTACATTTAGAAGATTTCTACAAAGTGAGTCCTGAGAGGTAGCCAGAGGCCTTATGTGTTGTGCTGTCCTAGTTAAGGTGTTTCTTAGACTGGACTTTGAGAAGCTTGAGAGGTGGAAGGGTGGTCCATGGATATATTCTTTTTTTTTGGAAACTGCTTTATTGAAATACAGTTCATATACTATACAATTCATCCATTTAAAGTATATGATTCAGTGTTTTTTAGTAGATTCACAAGGTTGTGCAACCATTATCACAATTCAATTTTGGAATATTTTCATTTCCCCTAAAAGAAACTCCATATTTAGGAGGAATCCTTTCCCCACTCCATCTGCCAGCTGTAAGCAATCACGAATCTACTTTTCCTCCTATGGGTTTTCCCATTCTGGACATGGTCATATAAATGGAATCATGCAATATGTGGGGTTTTGTCTGACTTCGTTCTCTTAGCATGTTTTTGAAGTTTAGCCATATCATAGCATCTTTTAAATTATTTCGTTTTTCAGTAACTTAATAGTATTTCATTATATGGATATACCACATTTTGTTTATTCATTCATCAGCTGTTTTCACTTTCTGGCTATTATGAATAATAATAGATTACATTTATCTTATGTATTCTTTATAGGCTATGAGCATTCATGTACAAGTTTTTATGTGGACATGTTTTCATTTCTCTTGGGTGTGCTTAGGAATGGACTTGCTGGATCATATGCTAACTCAGTGCTTGACATTTTAGGAACTTCTAAACTGTTCTCTGAAGTGGCTGCACCATTTTACAATCTTACCTGCAATGTATATGGGTTCCAGTTTCCCCACATCCCAGCTAACAATTATTACTGTCTTTTTTGATTATAGCCATCTTAGTAGGTATGAATTGGCATCTCATTCTGACTTTTTTTTTTTTTTTTTTTGGCATTCCTGGGTGGGCACGAATCATTCTGACTTTTGATTTGCATTTTCCTGATGGCTAATGATGTAAAGCATCTTTTTTTTTTCCCCCCAAGACGGAGTCTTGCTCTGTCACCCAGGCTGGAGTGCAGTGGTGCCGATCTTGGCTTACTGCAACCTCTGCCTCCCGGGTTGAAGCAGTTCTCCTGCCTCAGCCTCCTAAGTAGCTGGGATTACAGGTGCCTGCCACTGCCTGGATGAATTTTGCATTTTTAATAGAGACGGGGTTTCACCATGTTGGCCAGGTTGGTCTCAAATTCATGACTTTGTGATCCTCCCACTTTGGCCTCCCAAAGTGCTGGGATTACAGGAGTGAGCCACCGCTCCTGGCTGAAACATTTTTTAAATGTATTTATTAGCCATGTGTGTATCTTCTTTGGATAAATGTCTGTTTAGATCCTTTGCCCTTTTTAAAAACTGGGTTGTCTCTATTACTGAGTTGTATGATTTTCTAATTCTAGATCCACGTCTCTTATCAGATGTATAATTTACAAATATTTCCTTCCATTCTGTGGCTAGTTTTTTAATTCTCTTGATGGTACTGTTTGCAGTATAGAGGCTTTTAATTTTGATGCTCCATTTTGTGGATGTATTTTTGGTGGATGAGAATGGAAAAGCAAATGTGAGAGTAGTACAGGATGTGCATTCGTTTTATTTTTAAAATTTTTTTTTTTTTTGAGACAGAGTCTCACTCTGCCACCCCGGCTGTAGGGCAGTGGCACAATCTCGGCTCATTGCAACCTCCACCTCCTGGGTGCAAGCAACTCTCCTGCCTCAGCCTCCTGAGTAGCTGGGACTACAGGCACCCACTACCATGCTTGGCTAATTTTTGCATTTTTAGTAGAGAAAGGGTTTCACCATATTGGCCAGGCTCATCTCAAACTCTTGACCTTGTGATCCACCCACCTCAACCTCCCAAAGTGCTGGGATTATAGGCGTGAGCCACCGCGCCTGGCCAGCAAATTTTTAATACAGTTTTATTACTGGTATTAAAGGTAATCTTATCTTGTATGAATTCAAAATTAAAAGACCTTTTTTTTTTTTTTTTTGAGGCAGAGTCTCCATCTTTTGTTCAGATTGGAGTGCAGTGTTGTTATCTTGGCTCACTGCAACCTCCGCCTCCCAGGTTCAACTGATTCTCCTGCCTCAGCCTCCTGAGTAGCTGGAATTACAGGTGTGTGCCATCACACCTGGCTGATTTTTGTATTTTTGATAGAGACAGGGTTTCACCATATTTGCCAGACTAATCTTGAACTCCTGACCTCAGGTGATCCACCCGCCTCTGCCTCCCAAAGTGCTGGGATTACAGACAGCCATCACATCCAGCCCTGATACTCAGTTGTTATGTACTACACATAAACATGTACCTACAAATGAGTTCATTTATTGTTAAATAATTATGACCAGGCATGCTGGCTCACACCTGTAATTCCAGCACTTTGGGAGGCCAAGTTGGGCAGATCACCTGAGGTCAGGGATTTATGACCAGCCTGGCCAATATGGTGAAACCTCATCTCTACTAAAAAATATAAAAATTAGGCATGGTGGTGGGCACCTGTAATCCCAGCTACTTGGAAGGCTGAGGCAGGAGAATTGCTTGAACCTGGGAGGTAGAGGTTGCAATGACCTGAGATCACAACACTGCACTCCAGCCTGGGAAACAAGAGCAAAACTCCATCTCAAAAAAATAAATAAGCCGGGCGTGGTGGCTCGCCTGTAATCCCAGCACTCTTGGGGAGGCTGAGGTGGGTGGATCACAAGCAAGAGATCGAGACCATCCTGGCCAACATGGTGAAACCCCGTCTTTACTAAAAAGACAAAAAAATTAGCTGGGTGTGGTGGCACGCACCCATAGTCCCAGCTACTCAGGAGGCTGAGGCAGGAGAATTGCTTTAACCCAGTAGGTGGAGGTTACAGTGAGCCAAGATTGCACCACTGCAGCCCAGCCTGGCAACAGTGAGACTCTGTCCTAAATAAATAAATAATTGATGTTTTCAGTGCTTCTTATTGTAAGTGCCTAAGAGCCTTATTGTGATAATTGGAGAAAATGGCAGGGGCTTTTTGGATGGGCTGGGAAAACATTTTTCCCATTTAAAGTTATGGAATATAGAGCTGGGCTCAGTAGCTCATGCCTGCAATCCCAGCACTTTGGGAGGGAGGCCGAGGAGGGTGAATTGCCTGAGCTCAGGAGTTCAAGACCAGCCTGGGCAACATGGTGAAACCCCGTCTCTAAAATACAAAAAAATTAGCTGGACGTGGTAGTGTGTGCCTGGTAATCCCAGCTCCTCAGAGGGCTGAGGCAGAAGAATTGTTTGAACCTGGGAAGCAGAGGTTGCAGTGAGCTGACATCCTGCCATTGCACTCCAGTCTTGGTGACAGAGCAAGATTCCCTCTCAAAAAAAAAAAAAAAGTAATGGAATACAGACTAATTATCTGAAAGCTAGCCATTCAGCACATTTTATAGGCAAAATAAGAGAGATGCCTACATTAAGTTTGGCCATATGATGTCTTTGGAACATTTAGATAGAGCAGTGCTCTCAAATGAGGCTGCATATTAGATATAGCTCTTTAAAATAGACTGATTCCCCAGATCCTGTCTGCAAAGATTCTGACGTAATTGTACTGGGGCGAGTCCCAGGCATCGGGATATATTAAAAGCTCCCCAGGTCTTTGGAAGAAATGATTGGCTTATGATCAAGTAACTGCTACAATAAATGCCCACACTATCCAGCAGAGTGTAAAGATTCAGCTCTGTGAAACGCACTCCTTCCTCCCCCCCTACCCCGCTGGAGGCTAGTCAGATGACTCACATGAGGCTCTGCAACTAGCCAGTAAGGGAGAGCACAAAAGCACAATCCAAATCAGTTTGCCTCTTGGCTGTGATTTGGTGCCACCTAATGGCAATTTCTTCTCTAGCCTACATAATCAACTGGGCTGATTTTTCCTCAGTTGATCTGCCTGCCTAGGCCTCCCCAAGGCATTAACCTGCCTGCTTTGAGAATGGGAACTGGGCAGAGGACAAGGAGCAGTCACCAATTACTGTATGTGTAAGACTTGTGTTATGGTACATTAGTGTGATATCTTGTTACTTTTAGATGGGTTTACTACGGCCTGCGGGCCGCATGCGGCCCCCTGAGGCCATTTATCCGGCCCCCTGCCGCACTTCAGGAAGGGGCACCTCTTTCATTGGTGGTCAGTGAGAGGAGCACAGTATGTGGCGGCCCTCCAATGGTCTGAGGGACAGTGAACTGGCCCCCTGTGTAAAAAGTTTGGAGACGCCTGGTTTACTGTGTTTAGAACCATTGGAAACAGTGCAGTTACTCAAGGAATGTGTTGAATGATAATAAACCAGGACATGTATACGTACACATACTTTGATAAGTTTGAGTTCATACCAATGCCTCCTATTCCATTTCACCACAGGGTTCTTTTTTTTACCTTCCCTTATTCCATATTTGTATTCCCCTTTTTCCACAGCAGTAACCCTGACTTCCAGCAGCATTTGAAATATTTACTCATCTGCTCAGTCTTTTATTCCATCTAAAATAGTTTCAGAATCACTTCACCCTTACACTATAGTGAACAAACCTACTAAAAAAGAGCTGAATATTTGTTTGCAATTCTTCCCCTTACCTTTGCCACTGAGCCCAAGACTGAGGGCATAAGTCAAATACTGTATAAATAAGTTACTTTAATTAATTTATTTGTTCCCCCACCTTCAGAGTAGTATTCACTTAAACAATTAGGTTAATTTGTTCCAGTTTACTTTCCCTTCTAGGTCCCCACACCACCATATGTTAGCACTGTGTGGAGAGTTTGTGATATTAAGTGATTATTATTAGTTTTGTTTACATATTTTTTTTTAAACTAGGACCCGTCTTTTAGATATACAGTCTGAAAAAAAAGGAATATTATCTGGAACTATTTCAGGATAGTCCTGGTGAGGAAGAAGGGGGGAAATGGGTAGTAAATATAAGAAACAATATTAGTCATGAATTGATAGTTTAAGCTGGATGATTGGTACATGGGGGGTTATTACACTATTTCTCTATACTTTTGTGTATATTTCAAATTTTCTATAATAAAAAGTTCTAAAAATATATCTACTGCCTATAATGTTCTCAAGCTTTTTCATAGAACAAAAATTACTTACTTCCCTGTGTATTGCCTACTTTCTGTTAGTGAATACTCAGTAGCTTTTGATTGGATGCAAGAAGTCAGGTTCAGTTAAATGAAACATGTTTGTCCTTTTAGGTGTATTGATATATCTAATGTTGTTTAATAGGCTTTTTTTTTTTGAGTTGGAGTTTTGCTCTTGTTGCCCAGGCTGGTGCAGTGGCTCAATCTCGGCCCACTGCAACCTCCTCCACCTCCTATGCCTGGCTAATTTTGTATTTTTGGTAGAGGCAGGGTTTCTCCATGTTAGTCAGGCTGGTCTAGAACTCACGACCTCAGGTTACCTGCCTATCTCAGCTTCCCAAAGTGCTGGGATTACAGGCCTGAGCCACCGCACCCGGCCTAAGAAAATCCTTTTTTATTATCCTTTTTTTTTTTTTTTTTTTTTTTTGAGATAGAGTTTTGCTCTTGTTACCCAGGCTGGAGTGCAATGGTGCGATCTCAGGTCACAGCAACCTCCGCCTCCTGGGTTCAGGCAATTCTCCTGCCTCAGCCTCCTGAGTAGCTGGGATTACAGGCACGCGCCACCATGCCCAGCTGATTTTTTTTAGTAGAAACGGGGTTTCACCATGTTGACCAGGATGGTCTCTATCTCTTGACCTCGTGATCCACCCGCCTCGGCCTCCCAAAGTGCTGGGATTACAGGCGTGAGCCACCGCGCCCAGCCGGTTTTTTATTATCTTTATAAAATTCTTAGGATAAGCTGCATAAGTTACAATAATGTTTGCATTTGTTATTGTCATTACTAGTAGAGTATCACTAACAGTATCTAGATTATCTAGTTACAGGAAACAAGAAATTACAATTTCATCAAGGTTAGAGTTAAACTGGGTAACATCTCCATCATTTTTCCATTCCTTGAGATAAAGGGGAACAGGATGTTGATGCATGGGGACAACACTAAGGATGCATGCTACCTTTTGAGTCAAGTCAAAACCATAGTTAGGGAATCTTTTCTTGTGTGCTGCCTCATGGTGGGATGAGGAGGGGTTTGGCAACTATTTATTTTTAGAGATATTTTACCCCCTGCGGGGAAAGTGTGGAATAATCATGCCTACATATGTAAAAGTTGACCTTTTTATTTATTTATTTATTTTTACTGAGACAGCGTCTCACTTTGTCACCCAGGCTGGAGTGCAATGGCTCGATCTCAGCTCACTGCAACCTCTGCCTCCTGAGTTCAAGTGATTCTCCTGCCTCAGCCTCCTGAGTAGCTGGGACTATAGGCACGTGCCACCACACCTGGCTAATTTTTGTTTTTTTTAAATAGAGATGGGGTTTCACTGTGTTAGCCAGGATGGTATCTATCTACTGACCTTGTGATCTGCCTGCCTTGGTCTCCCAAAGTGCTAGGATTATAGGCGTGAGCCACCACGCCTGGCAAGTTGACCTTTTTTTGGTTCTGTTCTTTAGGGGAAAAGCCATATGTTTGTACAGTTCCTGGTTGTGACAAAAGGTTTACAGAATATTCCAGTCTGTACAAACATCATGTTGTCCACACTCATTCTAAACCTTACAACTGTAACCACTGTGGGAAGACATACAAGCAGATCTCCACACTGGCCATGCACAAACGGACAGCCCACAACGACACTGAGCCCATCGAGGAAGAGCAGGAAGCCTTCTTTGAGCCGCCCCCAGGTGAGAGTTTTGTCTACTATATTTTGTTTCTGAGTTTGAGAATCAACAGTTATGAACATAAGTTATGATACATAGCATTTTCTCAAATCATAAATGTTTCATTCGTATAATCACACAAACATAATTTACAACTGCAGTAAGTGTTATTGAGAAAAATATGTGGTGTTCTGGGATGTATAGAAGGGAATGTTAGTCTGGGAGGTCAAGGAAGGGATTTTTGGAGCCATCTGCTGGTTGAATAGAGGTTAACTGGGTGAAGAAGCAAGAAGCTGGGGTTGCGGGAAAGAGGAGCAGGGAGCAAAGGCAGGTGAATGTTCCAAATAAAGAGAATGGCACATGCAGAAAGCCGGAAGTTTGGAGAGATCAAAGTAAATTGTAGATGCTGAATGAACCCTGGCCAGTAGGGCAGTTCTGCCTGGGAAGGTGGTGTGAAGCAAGGCAGGGGTAGCCAGATGTTTGGGTCCATTAAGAATGTTGATCTTAAGGCCGGGCGCGGTGGCTCAAGCCTGTAATCCCAGCACTTTGGGAGGCCGAGGCGGGTGGATCACGAGGTCAAGAGATCGAGACCATCCTGGTCAACATGGTGAAACCCCGTCTCTACTAAAAATACAAAAAATTAGCTGGGCATGGTGGCACATGCCTGTAATCCCAGCTACTCAGGAGGCTGAGGCAGGAGAATTGCCTGAACCCAGGAGGCAGAGGTTGCGGTGAGCCGAGATCGCGCCATTGCACTCCAGCCTGGGTAACAAGAGCGAAACTCCGTCTCAAAAAAAAAATAAAAATAAAAATAAAAGAATGTTGATCTTAATAGTAGAGAAGTACTCCCAAATACCTTCATTGATTCAGGTGCCAGTAAGTATGTTATTGTAAGACACAAAATTATTCATTTCAATAAACCCTTGGAAAAATATTTTGGAGAATTACATTGAATTATTTCAGACAAATTATTAAGCATAGGTAAGTAGGTAAAAGAGGTAAAAGGAAGAAGGTTTTCTGTCTTCCTTTCTTTCTTTCTTTTTTTTTTCCAGATGAAGTTTCGTTCTTGTTGCCCAGGCTGGAGTACAGTGGTACAGTCTCGGCTCACCGCAAGAGTCAAGATTCTCCGCAACCTCCGCCTCCCAGTTTTAAGTGATTCTCCTGCCTTAGCTTCCCAAGTAGCTGGGATTACAGGCATGCGTCACCATGCCTGGCTAATTTTGTATTTTTAATAGAGACAGAGTTTCTCCATGTTGGCCAGGCTGGTCTCAAACTCCTGACCTCAAATGATCTGCCTGCCTCAGCCTGCCAAAGTGCTGAGATTACAGGTGTGAGCCACCACGCCCAGCTGGAGGTAGATTTTTCTAAAACACAAAACATGAGTGGGTTCGGTGGCTAACTCCTGTAATCCCAGCACTTTGGGAGGCTGAGGCGGATGGATCACTTGAGGTCAGGAGTTCGAGACCAGCTTGGCCAACATGGCAAAACCCCATCTCTACTAAAAATAAAAAAATTAGCTGGGCATGGTGGCACACACCTGTAGTCTCAACTACGTGGGAGGCTGAGGCAGGAGAAGTGTTTGAACCTGGGACATAGGGGTTGCGGTGAGCATGAGCCAAGATTGCACCACTGCACTCCAGGCTGTATGACAGGAGTGAGACTCCATCTCAAAAAAAAAATAATAATAACAGAACAAAGCAGGTTTTCTTTTTTTCTTTTTTTTTTTTTTTTTTTTTTTTGAGACCGAGTTTCGCTCTTGTTACCCAGGCTGGAGTGCAATGGCGCGATCTCGGCTCACCGCAACCTCCGCCTCCCGGGCTCAGGCAATTCTCCTGCCTCAGCCTCCTGAGTAGCTGGGATTACAGGCACGCGCCACCACGCCCAGCTAATTTTTTGTATTTTTAGTAGAGACGGGGTTTCACCATGTTGACCAGGATGGTCTCGATCTCTTGACCTCGTGATCCACCCGCCTCGGCCTCCCAAAGTGCTGGGATTACAGGCTTGAGCCACCGCGCCCGGCCCTTTTTTTCTTTTTCTTTTTCTTTTTTTTTTTGAGACGGAGTTTCGCTCTTGTTACCCAGGCTGGAGTGCAATGGCGCAATCTCGGCTCACCGCAACCTCCGCCTCCTGGGTTCAGGCAATTCTCCTGCCTCAGCCTCCTGAGTATCCGGGATTACAGGCACGTGCCACCATGCCCAGCTAATTTTTTTGTATTTTTAGTAGAGACGGGGTTTCACCATGTTGACCAGGATGGTCTCGATCTCTCGACCTCGTGATCCACCCGCCTCGGCCTCCCAAAGTGCTGGGATTACAGGCTTGAGCCACCGCGCCCGGCCCACAAAGCAGGTTTTCTTACTGTTTCATTGAGTACCTCCTAAATGAAGTAAATTTGAAAATTAAGACATCTTTTCTTCTTTTTAACAACTGATAATGAAGCATTGAAAAGCATTCAGGTGGAAACAGTTTGCTGGAGAATAAGGGAAAGAACAGGTCATCTGTTCAGATGATTCCTTGTAGTCCTGATTTGTCTTTTCAGGTATTTGTTAGGTGATGGTAGGAGAATAGCAGTTCCATCAGTCTTGATGATTCTTTTCTAGCCAAAACACTATTAAGTGTGCATGGTTAGATGTTACATCAGCTGAGGAGATACTGGTCAAAGAGTAGAGTTTCAGTTAGGAGGAATAAGTTCTGAAGATTTGTACAGTTTGTGACTACAGTTATAATTTACCATATATTTGACAATTGCTGAGAAAAAGGAAGTAAATAGGATACTACAACAACTGCTGAATCTTTTCAGTTAGAAAGCACATTTTAATGACATCAAACTTAAGTTTGCAAGACTCTTCTTTTTTTAAGCTTCCTCAAATCTCTTTCTTAAATGTTGATATTTCAGATTGTCAGAAGTTCTTATATTCTAGAAAATAGTCAATAATATAATAATACATATTTTATTAAAAAAAAAAAAAACCTAAGACTGTTTTTCCAAGAATAGGGATAGATTTTTGTTTTCTTTCATGATCCCCTGGGTTTTGTAACCTATTGAAATCATGGTATATAAGTAGCTGCGGAACAGAACAAAAAGAAATGAAGTAATGTCTGTCATGGAAATTACATCTTGATGACTGTAGCCATATGAGTGCATGCATTAACCACTAACTTGAGAAGTACTCTTAGATTAATATGTCAAGTCCTTTGAGGGGGAAACTTTTTTTTTCCCCCTCAAAAAGTCATGGGAAATGGAAAGTGATGAAAGAAAGGAGGACGAGGAATCTTCCTGGTTGACAATTATAGCAGTAATGGACTATTGAAATTGCTGTTTATTTGCTGGTTCTTTATGAAATAAAGATGGAGGTTCCTTTTATGTCACTAAATTATTAACCATAACTCAGATAACACACCATACATTGTCTTTACACAGTGAGGTCATTGTGTACTTATGCCTTTCAATCAATCACTTGTGCTAAAGACCAAGTTTAGTATCTGTAGGTGTGTTTACAAACCATTCTGGTTTTGTGGGGTTTTTTTTGTTTGGTTGGTTTTTTTTTTTGAGATGGAGTTTCGCTCTTGTTACCCAGGCTGGAGTGCAATGGCACGATCTCGGCTCACCGCAACCTCCGCCTCCTGGGTTCAGGCAATTCTCCTGCCTCAGCCTCCTGAGTAGCTTGGATTACAGGCACGCGCCACCATGCCCAGCTAGTTTTTTGTATTTTTAGTAGAGATGGGGTTTCACCATGTTGACCAGGATGGTCTCGATCTCTCGACCTCGTGATCCACCCGCCTCAGCCTCCCAAAGTGCTGGGATTACAAGCTTGAGCCACCGCGCCCGGCTGTGGTTTTGTGGTTAATGTTTATGAAAATAATCTTACCACTTTTTTTTTTTTTTTTTTTTTTTGAGACGGAGTTTCACTCTTGTTACCCAGGCTGGAGTGCAATGGCGCAATCTCGGCTCACCGCAACCTCCGCCTCCTGGGTTCAGGCAATTCTCCTGCCTCAGCCTCCTGAGTAGTGGGATTACAGGCACATGCCACCATGCCCAGCTGATTTTTTGTATTTTCTGTAGAGACAGGGTTTCACCATGTTGACCAGGATGGTCTCAATCTCTTGACCTCATGATCCACCCACCTCGGCCTCCCAAAGTGCTGGGATTACAGGCTTGAGCCACCGCGCCCGGCCTGTCTTACCACTTTTAACAGCTTCTTTTTTTTTTTTTTTTGTGATGGAGTTTTGCTCTTGTTGCCCGGGCTGGAGTGCAATGGTGCAATCTCAGCTCACCACAACCTCTGCATCCCAGGTTCAAGTGATTCTCGTGTCTCAGCCTCCCGGGTAGCTGGGATTACAGGCATACATCAGCACGCCTGATTAATTTTATATTTTTAATAGAGACAGGGTTTCTCCATGTTGGTCAGGCTGGTCTCCAACTCCCGACCTCAGGTGATCCGCCTGCCTCCACCTCCCAAAGTGCTGGAATTACAGAGGTGAGCCACCGCACCCTGCCTTTAACAGCTACTTAAGTGAATTCAAGAACTTAGTGCATACTTGCTGTATTTGAAGGGTTATTTGCTAGTTTTTCTGTGCAGTTCCTCACCTCCCTGCCACCAGTATCAAGTAATTACTCCCATCTAAGAGGATAAAATAGGTCCCTTAAAATCAGAACACTTAATTTCGATGCAGAAATTATTTGTCTGCTTTGATGTGTTTTTTTTTTTTGTTTGTTTGTTTGTTTGTTTGTTTGAGAGGGAGTTTCACTCTTGTTACCCAGGCTGGAGTGCAATGGTGCAACCTTGGCTCACTGCAACCTCTGTCTCCTGGGTTCAGGCAATTCTCCTGCCTCAGCCTCCTTAGTAGCTGGGATTACAGGCACGCGCCACCATGCCCTGCTAATTTTTTTTTTATTTTTAGTAGAGATGGGGTTTCACCATACTGACCAGGATGGTCTCTCGATTTCTTGACCTTGTGATCCACCCGCCTCGGCCTCCCAAAGTGTTGGGATTACAGGCGTGAGCCACCGCGCCCGGCCGTTTTTTTGTTTTTGTTTTTTGTTTTTTTTTTTTTTGGTCTGCTTTGATGTGGTTTGCCTTTGCAAAAGTGGAGATGGAGGAATTGGAAGGAGGTCCTAGGAGGAAGCCATGTTTGTGACTTAAAAATATAATGCGTGTACATTTTAATCTATATAATTTTCTTTTTAATGTTTAAAATGTCCTGTTTCCTAATAAATTAGTTAGTTGGCCAAATAAATGAATCATTTGTTTTAAACAGGTCAAGGTGAAGATGTTCTTAAAGGGTCCCAGATTACATATGTTACGGGTGTAGAAGGGGACGACGTTGTTTCTACACAAGTAGCCACAGTAACTCAATCTGGGCTAAGTCAACAAGTTACACTCATATCTCAAGATGGGACTCAGCATGTAAGTATCCACCAAAAGCCAAACAAATGAAATCTTTCCATGAACCTGGGCTTGAAAAGCAGGCTGGGTTGCCATTGAGGAAAGCTTTGAAATACCAGAGCGCAAAGTTTGAAAACCCTGAAGGTCTTTCAGTAGTCTGCTTAAAGAGACTCCATGTAGAGAGATTAGGAGAGAGAGAATGTTTGTGACTGTAGAATCCAAATGGTGTTACTGGTGTAGCTCAAAACTGAGATGATAAAAGTCAGCCACACAGAGGTTGAGTGCTTGAAAGGTACTGGATCCATGTGAAACACAGCTCAGAAAAGGGATAGGATTTGGTGGCTGATTAGATCCAGGAGGTGAGACTGAGAAAACATAGGTTTGGCTGAGGTGATCAGCATGTTATGGTACCATTAAGAGATGAGGAATCATGAGAGTTCACTCAGCTAGCTTCACAGAGTCCATAGAATAGGTATCTCCCAGGCAAAGCACAGTGTAATGGTTGTTCTCTGATAGCCAAACTTTTTATTATTTTCTAGATGCCATTAGCCTAAAATAATTACACCTTGATTCCATTTTTAAGCTCTAGCTAAGGCTGTTTTAATACCTGGTAGAAATACACACAATGTGTTTCTTTACCCTTCTGTGTCTGCCTCTTTCATAGAGAATGCTCTCCTTACCCATCTCTCTTAGAGCTTAATGATTCATCTGCCCTGTTTTGATACCCAGGATTAGAAAGTACAAAGCTCTTCTGCCATCTCATTTTTCTCCCTCCTTACTTTGATGTTACTAATTTCACACTATACTGTTTGTCCTCTGACTGGCATGCAAGATTATTAGCCAAGTTTTAATTCTGCATCACCATTAACACTTTTTCTTGAATTGGATCGTCATATACAGAGGTCCTCTGGAGGTTTTATATAACCTCCCGCTTCCCTATACAGGAAAAATTCCCACTACAGTTCAAAAATAGCTACTACTGGCCGGGCGCGGTGGCTCAAGCCTGTAATCCCAGCACTTTGGGAGGCCGAGGAGGGTGGATCACGAGGTCAGGAGATCGAGACCAACGTGGTCAACATGGTGAAACCCCGTCTCTACTAAAAATACAAAAAATTAGCTGGGCATGGTGGCACGCGTGCCTGTAATCCCAGCTACTCAGGAGGCTGAGGCAGGAGAATTGCCTGAACCCAGGAGGCGGAGGTTGCGGTGAGCCGGGATCGCGCCATTGCACTCCAGCCTGGGTAACAAGAGCGAAACTCCGTCTCAAAAAAAAAAAAAAAAAAATAGCTACTACTGAGAAACCCCCACTGATTAGGCAGTTTCTGTCTTAGGCATTCTGGGTCTGGGCACGGTGTCTCACACCTGTAATCCCAGCACTTTGGGAGGCCGAGGCAGACAGGTAACCTAAGGTTGGGAGTTCCAGACCAGCCTGACCAACATAGAGAAACCCTGTCTCTACGAAAAATATAAAATTACCTGGGTGTGGTAGCACATGCCTTTAATCCCAGCTACTTGGGAGCCTGAGGCAGGAAAATCACTTGAACCCAGGAGGTAGAGGTTGTGGTGAGCCAAGATTGCGCCATTGCATTACGGCCTGGGCAACAAGAGTGAAACTCCATCTCAAAAAAAAAAAAAAAAAAAAAGGTTGTCTGAACTGTAGGTGATGGGGAGTCACAGGGGATTTCAGCAGAGAGCATAAGATTTTTTTTTGTTTTGTTTTAGAAAGATGTCAGTGTAGGCTGGGCGCGGTGGCTCAAGCCTGTAATCCCAGCACTTTGGGAGGCCGAGGCGGGTGGATCACGAGGTTGAGAGATCAAGACCATCCTGGTCAACATGGTGAAACCCCGTCTCTACTAAAACTACAAAAAATTAGCTGGGCATGGTGGCGCGTGCCTGTAATCCCAGCTACTCAGGAGGCTGAGGCAGGAGAATTGCCTGAACCCGGGAGGCGGAGGTTGCGGTGAGCCGAGATCGCGCCATTGCACTCCAGCCTGGGTAACAAGAGCGAAACTCCATCTCAAAGAAAAAAAAAAAAAAAGAAAGATGTCAGTGTAGAGAATGGTTAGGGAAGGGTTAGACTGGGTACCTGGAGAGAGTTGGATTATTGTAGAAATTCAGGTGGGAGAAAAATAAGCATCTCAGTTAGCAATAGGAGTGGAGAGGAGGAACTGCAATTAAGAAATACTAGGGCCGGGCACGGTGGCTCAAGCCTGTAATCCCAGCACTTTGGGAGGCCGAGGCGGGTGAATCACGAGGTCAAGGGATCGAGACCATTCTGGTCAACATGGTGAAACCCCGTCTCTACTAAAATACAAAAAAAATTAGCTGGGCATGGTGGCGCGTGCCTGTAATCCCAGCTACTCAGGAGGCTGAGGCAGGAGAATTGCCTGAACCCAGGAGGCAGAGGTTGCGGTGAGCCGAGATCGCGCCATTGCACTCCAGCCTGGGTAACAAGAGCAAAACTCCGTCTCAAAAAAAAAAAAAAAAAAAAAAAAAAAAAAAAAAAAAAAAAAAAAAGAAATACTGTGTTAGGCCGGGCGCGGTGGCTCGCGCCTGTAATCCCAGCACTTTGGGAGGCCGAGGCGGGTGGATCATGAGGTCAAGAGATCGAGACCATTCTGGTCAACATGGTAAAACCCCGTCTCTACTAAAAATACAAAAATTAGCTGGGCATGGTGGCGCGTGCCTGTAGTCCCAGCTACTCGGGAGGCTGAGGCAGGAGAATTGCTTGAACCCAGGAGGTGGAGGTTGTGGTGAGCTGAGATTGCGCCATTGCACTCCAGCCTGGGTAACAAGTGAAACTCCATCTCAAAAAAAAGAAATACTGTGTTGCTGGGGAAAGTGGCTCACACCTATAATTCCAGCACTTTGGGAGGCTGAGATGGGAGGATTACTTGAGGCCAGGAGTCTGACACCAGCCTGGGCAACATGGTGAGACCCTATCTCTACAAAAATAAAAATAAAAAATTCAGGCCGGGCACGGTGGCTCACGCCTGTAATCCCAGCACTTTGGGAGGCCGAGGCGGGTGGATCACGAGGTCAAGAGATCGAGACCGTCCTGGTCAACATAGTGAAACCCCATCTCTACTAAAAATACAAAAATTAGCTGGGCATGGTGGCAAGTGCCTGTAATCCCAGCTACTCAGGAGGCTGAGGCAGGAGAATTGCTTGTACCCAGGAGGTGGAGGTTGCGGTGAGCCGAGATCGCGCCATTGCACTCCAGCCTAGGAAACGAGTGAAACTGCATCTCAAAAATAAATAAATAAATAAATAAATAAAAATAAAAAATTTGCCTGGAGCAATGGCTTACGCCTATAGTCCCAGCTACTCAGGAGGATGAGGCTGGAGGATCACTTGAACCCAGGAGTTTTAGGCTCTGCACTCCATCCTGGGCAACAGAGCGAGTCCTAATGATGTTATTATTTTTATTATTATTTTTAGAAGAATAACATTATTTGTATATCCAAAAATAATGATAAAATAAGAATTCTTAAAAGAAACATTGTATTGCTTATTCTGATGACTGAATGTATTTATTTCATTCGAAAAGGCTTATTTACATTCACAGGGCAAACTTATACAAAGATTAGGTCCAGTCCTTATGTAAGATTGTCAGCTGTAAGAAGAAACATTGACAGCTTTGTAAAATTCACTGTATTGCAGGTCAACATATCTCAAGCTGACATGCAGGCCATTGGCAACACCATCACAATGGTAACGCAGGATGGCACGCCCATCACAGTCCCTGCCCATGATGCAGTCATTTCCTCAGCAGGAACACACTCTGTTGCTATGGTTACTGCTGAGGGTACAGAAGGGCAACAGGTAATTACTTTTTTCTGTTATATCAATCAGTACATATATCAGTACCAAAATTGTCACACAGATATACAGTGTGGTACAACAGTTAAACACAGACTTTGGAGTGAATAATATTTTGCAACTTCTTAGCTACTTAACCCTCAGAGCCTGTTTTTCCTCATTTGTAATATAGGGTGTTAGTTGCATCTACCCCATAAGGTTGATAGAAGGATTGAATGAGATAATGCATATAAGTTACTCAGCTTACATATATATTAAGTATTCATTAGTGGTAGCTATTCCTGTTACCATCATTATCAGATAGTTAGGAAATAATTGCAAAATTTACTATTTAATTTTTTAAATATGTCGTATATTCACATGGTTCAGAACTCAAAGAAATATATACTGTTATGTAATGAAACATATTCATCCCACCCCTGCCTTCGTCAGCTCAGTTCTTGCCTCCACAGATAATCAACTTTTATCAGTTTTTTGTGTATTCTGCCAGTCATTAAGCATATACAAACAAATAAAAATAAATAGTCATCTCCCCCTACCTCTTTTTAAACTAGCACACAGCTAACATAATGGCTCTCTTTTCGTTTTTGAGACAGGCTGGAGTGCAGTGGCACGATCACAGCTCACTGCAGCCTCAACCTCCCAGGCTCAAATATCCTCCCACCTCAGCCTCCCAAGTAGCTGGGACTACAGGTGTGCACCACCAAGCCTGGCTAATTATTTATTTTTTTAGAGATGAGGTCTCACTATGTTGCCCAGGCCTTGGCCTCCCAACATGCCCAGCCTCCTTTTTTTTAATAGTAGTAAACTAGTCTGTTCTATATCTTGTTGTTGTCTTTTAAACTTAACAATACATTTTCAAAATCTCTATGTCATTACATAGAGAGCTTTCTCCTTCCTCTTTTTTTAAGCTGCATTGTACTCCACTGTATGGCTATGCCGTAATTTATTTAAAGTCTTTTGCTATTTCAAACAGCACATTACCTGGTGCACATGTGGTTTTGCACATGTGTGAGTAGATATGCTAGATAAATTCTTAGAGCAGGATTGCTGGTGCAAAGATACATGCATTTGTTAATTATTATCAATGTTGCCAAACTTCCCTTCTAGGGTTGTGCCAGTCTCCATTCCCACCTGCAGGGTTTGAGAGTGCCTGTTCTCCTTCAGCATGGTCACCATGGTAGTATCAAACTTTTGGATTTTTTCCAATCTAATGTATTTTTTGTAGTTTTAATTTTCATTTCCACCAATCTGATTTTTTTTTTTTTTGGTGTCGTTTTAATTTTCATTTCAAATAAATAACGTAATATATTTAAAAACTTCTTGGCCGGGCACAGTAGCTCACGTCTATAATCCCAGAACTTTGGGAGGCCAAGGTGGGTGGATCTCCTGAGGTCAGGAGTTCGAGACCAGCCTGATCAACATGGAGAAACTCCGTCTCTACTAAAAATACAAAATTAGCCGGGCGTGGTGACACATGCCTGTAATCCCAGCTACTCGGGAGGATGAGGCAGGAGAATCGCTTGAACCCAGGAGGCGGAGGTTGGGGTGAGCCGAGATTGTGCCATTGCACTCCAGCCTGGGTAACAAGAGCGAATCTCTGTCTCAAAAAAAAAAAAAAGGGGCCGGGCGCGGTGGCTCAAGCCTGTAATCCCAGCACTTTGGGAGGCCGAGGCGGGTGGATCACGAGGTCGAGAGATCCAGACCAACCTGGTCAACATGGTGAAACCCCGTCTCTACTAAAAATACAAAAAATTAGCTGGGCATGGTGGTGCGTGCCTGTAATCCCAGCTACTCAGGAGGCTGAGGCAGGAGAATTGCCTGAACCCAGGAGGCGGAGGTTGCAGTGAGCTGAGATCGCGCCATTGCACTCCAGCCTGGGTAACAAGAGCGAAACTCCATCTCAAAAAAAAAAAAAAAAAAAAAAAAAAAAACTGTTCTTGTACTGTGCTAAAGGCAATGTTGAGTCTCACTCTTGAAAAATAAATGAAGTTGGTAGTCTTATAAACCCTGAAATGTAAAACTCAGAATCATAAAGCTTCTAGAAGAAAAGAGAGGCAAATAGTTTTGCAGCCTTAGGGTAAAGATTTCTTGGACTGTATTCAAAATGTACTAACAATGAAAGAAAAAAACTGATAAATTGGACGTCATCGAAATTAATTCTGCTGACTGAAAGGTACTGTTACGAAAAACATCAGACAACCCCCAGACTGAGGAAAAGATATTCATGCTATATACACACACTATATTTACACAATACAAGTCTAAAAATAGACTTGTATTATGAATATGTAACAGGCTGGGCACGGTGGCTCACACCTGTAGTCCCAGCACTTTGGGAGACCGAGATGGGTAGATCACAAGGTCAGGAGTTCAAGACCAGCCTGGCCAAGATGGTGAAACCCCATCTCTACTAAACATACAAAAGCTAGCTGGCATGGTGGTGTATGCCTGTAATCCCAGCTACTCAGGAGGTTGAGGCAGAAGAATCTCTTGAACCCAGGAGGCAGAAGTTTCAGTGAGCCGAGATCTTGCCACCGCACTCCTGCCTGGGTGACAGAGGGAGACTCCGTCTCAAAAAAAAAAAAAAAAAGAGAAAAGAATATGTAACAGATTTCTACAAATCAACAATAAAAAGATGAACAACTATTAAAAATGAGCCAAAAAGGTGTTTTAAAATGTACAAATTGTTTAGTTTCTCATTGAACAGACCTCCCGCAAAAGATACGTAACACAAAAAGTGCACGTCTTTTATCATCAAAGAGATGCAAATTAATATCACAACGAGAGAGCATTTCAGACCCAAGAAAATGGCTAAAATCAAAGACTAACAAAACCAAATGTTGATTTCTCCTGAGAAACTAGTGAGTAAGCAACCCCCACCACCACCTCCAAATGCTGGCAAAGATGTGGAGCAAATGCAACATTCATACACTGCTAGTGGGAGTGTAAAATGATGTAAATGGCCAATAGGCACATGAAAAGATGTTCAACATCATTAGTCATTAAGAAAATGCAAACCAAAACTGTAATGAGATACCACTTTACACCCATGAGGATGGCTATTATTAAAAATCAAGTGTTGGCCGGGCGCGGTGGCTCAAGCCTGTAATCCCAGCACTTTGGGAGGCCGAGGCGGGTGGATCACAAGGTCAAGAGATCGAGACCATCCTGGTCAACATGGTGAAACCCCGTCTCTACTAAAAATACAAAAAAATAGCTGGGCATGGTGGTGCGTGCCTGTAATCCCAGCTACTCAGGAGGCTGAGGCAGGAGAATTGCCTGAACCCAGGAGGCGGAGGTTGCGGTGAGCCGAGATCGCGCCATTGCACTCCAGCCTGGGTAACAAGAGCGAAACTCCGTCTCAAAAAAAAAAAAAAAAAAAAAAAAAAAAAAAAAAAATCAAGTGTTGGCTGGGCGTGGTGGCTCAAGCCTGTAATCCCAGCACTTTGGGAGGCCGAGAGATCGAGACCATCCTGGTCAACATGGTGAAACCCTGTCTCTACTAAAAATACAAAACAAAACATTAGCTGGGCATGGTGGCGTGTGCCTGTAATCCCAGCTACTTGGGAGGCTGAGGCAGGAGAATTGCCTGAACCCAGGAGGCAAAGGTTGCGGTAAGCCGAGATGGTGCCATTGCACTCCAGCCTGGGTAACAAGAGCGAAACTCTGTCTCAAAAAAAAAAAAAAAAAAAAAAGAATGTAAAATGGTACAGCCAGTGTGGAAAACAGTATGTTCCTCCAAAAATAAAACACAGAATTACATGTGATCCAGCAATTCTACTCCTAGGTATACACCCAAAAGAATTGATAATAGAGACTCAAACAAGTACTTGTACACCAATGTTTGTGGCAGCATTACTTAAAATAGCTTAAATGTGAAAATAACCCAGGTGTCCATTAACAGATGAGTGGCTAAACACAATGTGGTATATCTATACAATGGAATATTGTTCAGCCATAAAAAAAGAGTAAAGTATTGATAATATGCTACAACATGGATGAACCTTGAAAACATGCTAATTCAAAGCAGCCTGACACAAAAGGACTGTCCTACGTTGTAAAATTCTGCTTATATGAGGTATCTTGAGTAGGCAAATTCATAGAAACAGAAAATAGAATAGAGGTTACTAAAGGCAGTCGTGGCCGGGCATGGTGGCTCGCATCTGTAATCCCAGCACTTTGGGAGGCTGAGGTGGGCAGATCATGAGGTCAAGCAATTAAGACTATCTGGCCAACATGGTGAAACCTCATCTCTATGAAAAATACAAAAATGTAGCTTGTAGGGAGCTGCAAAAAGAAAAAATACAAAAATGAGCTGGGCGTGGTGGTGCACGCCTGTGGTCCCAGCTACTCGGGAGGCTGAGGCAGGAGCACTGCTTGAACCTTGGAGGCAGAGGTTGCCGAGATCCGAGATCTCGCCACTGCACTTCAGCCTGGCAACAGAGCAAAACTCTGTCTCAAAAAACAAAAAGGCTGTGGTAAAGGAATGATAGGGAGTTACTGTTTAATAGATAGTTTCTTAATGAGATGATACGAAAGTTCTAGAAAATAGCTAGTGATGATGGTTACACAGCATTGTGAAGGTACTTAATACTACTGAATTGTACACTTAAAAATGATTAAATGAGGCCAGGCATGGTGGCCCACGCCTGTAATCCCAGCACTTTGAGAGGCCAAGGTGAGCGGATCACTTGGGGCCAGGAGTTCCAGACTAGCCTGGCCAACATGGTGAAACCCCATCTCTACTAAAAACACAAAAAGTAGCTAGGTGTGGTGGCACAACTACCCAGCTACTTAGGCTGAAGTGGTACGATTACTTGAACCCGGGAGGTGGTGGTTGAAGTGAGCTGAGATGGTGCCACTGTACTTGAGCCTGGGCAACAGAGTGAGAATCTGTCTCAAAAAAAAAAAAAAAGCTTAAATGGTGTATGTTATATATATTTTACCACAATAAAAAAATAAATGGCTGGGCGCAGTAGCTCACGCCTGTAATCCTAGCA